CACAACAAAATAATTAAAAAGAAATAAATTAAAAAAAATAAGTTTGCTACTTGAAATATATCCATAAAATAAAGGTGAAAGCAAAAAAAAAAAACTATTAAAATTAAATTATTCGTATTTTTAGCTCAAAGCCTGATTTATTTTAGGTTGTACTTAGTACTTCAAATCAATTAGGGTTGACATCTCTGGCTAATGTTAATGTGAGGTTAACTTTGTAGTTCTCGGGACTGACAAAGTAAGATTACTTTTATCTGTATCTTGTTGCTTTAAAGAGGACAAGTCGATTAGAATTGATTGATATGGTGAGGTTAAGTTATCCTCATCAAAGTGGTTGTGTGGTAGTCAGGGCAGTTACACTAATTTACAAGGTAAGGTTAATTGACTTTTATGAAATTGCTTTATGGTGGATAAGTTCATTGCAATTGATGAATGGTGAAGTAAACTTATCCTCATTAAGTTGGCTTTATGGAAAACAAGTAACTCTCTGACTGATGGAATAAGGTAAGTTTATAATGAACTCAAAAATACAGTAACAGTGACTTTTACAATAGGGAAGTTCTGATCTTAACGATTTCGACCCATAATATCGGGTCATCATCGGGTAACAGTTGATATTGAGTCTGTAACATTCTCTGAAATTCAGATTGCTTTAATGAATGTAACTGTTACCTGGTGATGATTTGATACTATTGGTCAGAACATTGTAATCATTTTAATCAGAATATACCTACTGTAAAAGTTGCTGTTATTGTATTTTTTAATGTATTTAATTATTAGGTTCTTCACCAGCCACGATGAGTAGCATAGCAAGATGAACTTCAGAATATCAACTTGCTAATATGCCAATAAAGAAAATAAGTAAACAGACAGTCACAGATAACAGCCTAAAAAATAAGTAAACAGACAGTCACAAATAACAGCCTAAAAAATAAGTAAACAGACAGTCACAGATAACAGCCTAAAAATAAGTAAACAGACAGTCACAGATAACAGCCTAAAAAATAAGTAAACAGTCACAGATAACAGCCTAAAAAATAAGTAAACAGACAGTCACAAATA